TACGTACTACTATATATATATATATATATATATATATATATATATATATATGCATAATTTTGATATTTTTTAAGAAGATGTCGTACATAGAATTAGAGTTAGGTGGGCGAAGTGGAATTGTGCAACTGGAATTTTATTTGAACGCCGCATACTAATGAAGTTGAAGAGTAAGTTCTATAGGATAGTTGTGAGACCAGCTTTGCTTTATGGGGTAGAATGTTGACAGACAAAAAACAATATGCCCATAAGATGAGTGTAGCGGAGATGAGAATGTTAAGATGGATGAGTAGCAAGACAAGAAGAGATAAAATCTGAAATGAATCCATTCGGGAAAGTTAAAAGTATGACACCAATAGGCAATAAGATAACAAACGGTAGGGTTAGGTGGGCAGGTCATATGTGGCATTGATCCAATACAACACATGTTAAGAAATACGAGTTAATTCAAGTGGAAGGATTAAAAAAGACAAAGGGTAAACCCAAAAGGACGTGGTTTGAAGTAGTTCGAAAAGATATGGAGATTTATGGTCTCACTGAAAGTATGGCCTTAAATAGAGCAAAGTGGTGTACCAAAATTCGTGTAGCCGACCCCAATTAATTGGAAAAAACATATATATATATATATAAATGCTCCTGTAGGCCCACTCGCGTACAGGAAACCAATGAGCCCAACAGCTCGGATCATCTCATCGTGTTTCAACACTTAGGATGATGCTTGGCCGGTTGCACACGTTTCAAATTTTAAAAAACCCCATTTAATGGGTTGTCAGGTACCTGACACCTACGGTAGTGCCCTATATCCATCTCTCTCGTTCTCTCTCATGTCAACCTCCCTCCCATCTCACCTTCTCTCTCAACTCAACCTCTCTCTCTCTTTCTCTCTCTCTAGGCCGTGTCAACTCCTCCCATCTCACCTTCTCTCTCAACTCAACCTCTCTCTCTCTTTCTCTCTCTCTAGGCCGCGCCCCCTCTTTCTTTCTGTACAACCAGGCTGCTCTCTCCCATCTTACCCTCTCTCTTCCTATAGGCCATGCCCCCCTCGCTCTCTACAACCAAGTTGCTCTCTCTATCTCTCCCATTGTCGCTCCCATCTCACCCTCTCAACTCACCTTCTCTCTCTACCCTCTCACTACAG